GAGAAGGGGCGAGAAAAACGATGCGGTTTTGAAAAATAACAGTCCATGAAGTTCCATCCTGCCCTTGAGACGATTCAACTACGAGAATCCTGAAGTTACTGCCATCTATCATGGGTTAAATGTCTGCAGAAGTTAGAAGAGGCCTGCGCTCCTCCTGTGTGCAGTGGAGGCAATACAGTGTACTAGTTGTGCTTGCAATAAAATACCATCGGAAGAAAATCTTAAGAACATCCTGTTGGAAACACTTCCAGAAAAAGAAAAACAAGGTGTCTCTCCTTCAGTATTGTGGTGTAAAGGCTTTCCCCAGGAAACGTCCGCATGGAAAGCAGACAGTGAAGAAGTCTGTCTCTGTCTGGAGTTGGGAATTAACAGACCCTGTCCTTACACCTGGTCATTTTAACAGAGACTTAAAGAAGTATGATTTAGCAGCCAGCTTAAGGACAATTGTTTATTTATTTACGGGTTTTTTTTTGGGGGGGACTGAACTTGGGACTGTGGCTTGCCAGGTAGGCGCTTATGCACTGAGCCATCTCCCCAGTCCTTAACACTTTTTAGAAACATGCCAGACTCTTAATAAATTCACAAGTGCTTCTTGGATCGCAATACTTTCTATCACCAAAGTGAAAACATTATGGCAGTACTCTGTATGAGAGAAATTCCATGAAAATGAGTTTTAGAAAATCTGATTTCTAATTGGAAGATCTTACTTTCCTGGTGGATATTATAAAAGTGCTCTACTGACACAAGATTTCTATAACTCTTAGTTTTCCTGAAGTTCAGTTTTTTCCTTCATTGGTCAGTTTACTTTTTTTCTGGCATCCACTCTAGAAAAAAAGTATATTAACTATATGTACAGGACTCCCCCTGCCATGCCTATGGCGATCATCTGGGTCATCTTTAGCAATCTTTTTTTAAGCCCCAAAATAATATATTAGAATAGAAAATAATGATGTCTGTTATTGTAGTGCCAGTGCAGAGCCCACTAATAGCTACTGAGGGAGATTATCCCATCTTTGAATGAGGGACACCTAGTATGTATAAATGTATCCTTTTCAGATTCTTTTTCAAAAAATTTGCAACTCCTTGGTAAGTAATTTTTTAATTAAAAGTTTAGTCAGCTCATTTTTCAGATATGAATGAAAAACAGCATATTGAAAGTTATTTTTATCTAAGGAATTTATTATATTTTCATTATTTTTTTCAGATCTGCATTATTTGTTAGATTTATTTTCTGTTGAAAATTAAACCATCTTAAGCTGTAATCAAAGCACTTTGGAAAACAGTCACATATTCAAAGTTCTAAAGCTGAAATTTCAACACAAATGTGGGAGTCATCAAAGGCTGTTTGGGGCAAATGTTTCCACCATTAAGACAGAAACAAAGATACATAAAGCTGACAAAAAAGAGTATTATAAGCTTATTATCATCCCAGGACCTTGACATAATTAGCAAACAAAACACCTAGACATAGAAGGAGAAGCTACCCCAAAGAAGATGCCTCTATCATTTCAGTCCTCAGGTTCAGTGTTGGGCTTTACAAGCTTTTGGCTTCCATGGAAGAAGATAGGCAATGATGAGAGAGGACAAAGTCCAGAAAACCAGAGGGATTTAGAAACCTATTCTATTAAATCCTCTCTAGAAAGGAGTGTAAAACCATGATAGGCTGTGAAGAAGGAACCAACAAAATTGGAACTTAGGAACTTGCACAGAATTTCACTCGTCATCACGAGATGAGTGACATTTGTGGTTTGCCAGCTATGTTGCTGAATATGGCTGAGCCTTCTGTTGCATCTTAAGGAACATAAATTATGTAATTCCCACCCTATTGTTGAATGCAGAGAGAAGTGATTCACAGCTGCTTCATGACTTGATAGTGGGTCCGCAGCAGCACGTGTGTCCATCGCTACCTTCTTGTATGCCGAGCATGGTTCTACCAGCTTTGAGTGAATTAACTCACAACATCCTTGTGAGGTAGACACTAAACTGTCCTCATCTCACACATGAAGAATTTGGAGTCCAGAGAAAGTTAGTAATTTACCCTGGTCACAGAGCTCATAAATGGCAGAGCCTGGAGCCAGAATCAAGCAACCTGGTGCGGAGCCCATGCCCTTCTCCTCTGTACCATGAGTCAGCTGGCATCTGCTCATGTGAGCTCAAGCTGCCAGTCCCTCTTGTCACACCTACACATTCTCCTACACTGTGACTTCTATAGTGCCCTGCTAGTCAGGTGATTTAAATGGCACCTTTTTGGAGCTGTCTACTTGCAAACTATACTCAGATGAATTTAGGACTGTTCACACTACCCAGGATTGCAAGCAAGATGGAGCTCAGGGTTTAGTATAAAGCTGAAGAGCAGTATGACTCGTTAGAACAACATGCCAAATATGTAAAATCCCACAACAATCCTTAGCCTGGTGGCTAGCGTGCCAGGGGAGGTACAGCCATTGCACAGCTTTTCTTGCACTGCTGCAAACTCAGTCTTTCTCTCAACATCCTGCAGCGGCAGGTGAAAAGCCAGGTCAAGGTACCGCAGGAGTCTTTGGAGTGCATTCTGCTAGTATAAGCCTCAAAGAGCAACAGATAACTTTTGTGGGTCAAAGGCCACAAGCTGGGTTGGACCACTGGCTTCTAAGATTGCATCTGATTTTCTTCTCTCATAAGAATGTGTGCTTATCCTGTGCAATTCCTTATTCACATAGATCATGTCCTAGGGCCAGTCAAACCATGTGGACAATGATCACCTCCTACCTGACACAGGTTAAAGGTGGTTGGGAGCAGAGCAGACATTCTGTAGTATTCAGATTTGTAAAGGGTGACTTCCCTCCAGTGCCCAACCCTGTGCCGATCTAGCACTTCTAGGCTGTGTAGAAACAGGCTGACTCAATCCAGGAGGCCACCAGGATTTTGGTGCATTACTTAAGTCCTTGTGGCACCTTCTCCTCATTAAATTGTTAAGTATATGGAACAACACTTTAGACAGAGATAAAAGACTTCCTTGAAGGGTGAAAAAGCTACAACAGGGCAAAGTCATGTCTCAGTGATGGGTGGGAAGCGTTAAGGAAATCTGAATGAAAATTATAGCACTTAGTAGCTCAGGTCTATTTTTAGCACGAGTGGAGGATCCCTCTCTGATCCCCTGACAGTCCCTCCGGGTATGGGCCAGCAGGCCATGTCCCTAGGGTGCTAGAGCTACAGTACCTGCTCCTATCCGCCCTCCCCTGGACGAGTCTGCTCTGGTAAGGGCTCCTAGGGCAGACCTTCACTACTTGCACTTCAAATGCTCTGTTTGATGTAAAGCCAAGACTAACCCAAAACCTGGAAACAACAAAAATAATTTTGGAGTCACTTCCTTTGGAATAGCTAAATTACTTTGCCTCCCAGCTTTGATTTAATGGAAAAAAGGAGAAGAAGAGTTAAAGGCTTCTTCCTCTAGCCTCCTGTTTATGTTTGCATGTTTGTGTGTTTGTTTTGTCTTTATGTGCAGATTCCAGCATGTGCTTCTTAAACCCCAAACAAATCTCTGACCAGGCTGCCATGAATGAAGCTTTCCTCCCACAGTATTATGAAAGCAAACACAAGCCCAGGGTCAAGTGCTGCTTTTGTCCAGAAGTTCTTTCCCACGAGTTCAATCCTGCCCCGAGCATTGATTCCCTGGCTTTAATTGGGAACTGCATATCTTAGCTTGTTAAAGAACTGCTCAGCTATGACTTCCTTACAATATTACAGGGGAAAGATGAAAAGAGAAAGGTAGAAAGAGGTAAGAAATGAAGCCGCCTACTTACCCTTCCCCCCTGTTGCCTGAAGCATCTTCAAATGATCCACTGTCATTTGCAGTATCTCAGCTTTTTCTAACTTTGCAGACCCCTTCAGAGACAAATAATAAAGTCACATGAGTCATACAGAAATGAACTTGGAGCACTGAAGGCTAAATTTAGTATTATGACTTCAGCTTTTCTTCTCTAAAAAGTTTTAATTTATTTTTTTAAAAAAACTTAGTTCTTTACAAATTTTGCATGAAAGCACCCATTACCATTTCTAATCTATGTGACAAGTATTTGTCATTTTAACTTTTAAAGACGCAAAGAAGACAGGAAAGAAATTATTTTTTAAAAAATTGCAAAGGGGCTGGAGAGATGGCTCAGTGGAATAAGCACTTCCCTGGCAAGCGCAAGGGCCTGAGTTCAATCCCCGGTTCTGGAAAAAAAAATAATAAAATAAGAAATAAATAAAATAATAAAAAATTGTAAGAAGAATTATATTTCTAAAATCACTCCAAGAAAACTGCAATTGCAAAAATCTCAAACTTGTTCAATTACTATTTTTTTCAATAATACATTTTCTTTTTTCTTTTTATGTATTTGGTACAGGGTCTCACTTCGCAGCTTGGACTTGTAGTGATCCTCCTGTTTTCAGCTTCCCCAGCGCTGGGATTACAGGCCTGCATCACTACACCTGGACTTGGTTGCTGCTCAGTGTGCCTGGGGGTGGGGCCTGCGTGGCATGTGGTGCTGGGGATTGAACCTGGGTCCCTGTGCTTGCCTAAGTAGGCGCTTAGTGTGCTGAGCTATCTTGTGGGCCTTTCAATACATATTTTCCAGGAGATGTTCAATAGGTCATATGCAGTAATCCTGAAGTCAAGTTCAGTTGAATAGTTGAATACCAACTCTATAAAGAAAAGACGCTATAAATTTTAGAAAATTATTGCTAAAATAGACTATACAAAACTAATATATTCTTCTAAGACCTTAAAGTAATCTATAAAAGACGATAAGTGGGCAGAAATCAAAACAAGGTTTTTTTGTATTTTAGTTTAGTTTCTTATTTTTTGCTCCTAACAGTTACCAGCAGGTGTCACTGTGAATTCCAGGATCTAAACAAAAATGAATTTTAAGACGCATTACAAGTATTTAAGAATTTTTGAATCTTTAAAAACTTGTTAATAAGAATCATCTTGCAAATTATTGGACTGCCCCCTTTAGCTTCTGAAACCAATTGAAATACAAACATGCCACCTCAAATTTTCTCAGGGGCCTGTGGGTGGCTTCTAATTTCCTGGAAGCCCTAAATAATTAAACCAATATGTTGGTTTTTAATTCTAAAGTGTATTTCAGCCTCTTTACTTCTTTTGTGAAAATTATCAGCGCCCTTTCATGGCGAGACTGCCAGGGTTATTCAGTGGCTGTGAAGAACCGTTTCCTAATCACAGGGCGGCAGGGCCAGCTCGCTAGGGTTGGCAGCCAAATGCTGTGGAGGGACAGCTTGTGTTGACGGCAGCTCACTGCCAGACAACGGATGGTTTGCGCTGAAGGCTCGATTTAAGTCAACATTGAAAAAAATCTAACAAACCACCACCACCAACAATAAAAACACTAAACAGACTGCTTGTTGGTAATTGGTAGACATTTCGGTACTTAAAATTTAAAAACATGATTATCATTACTTCCATTTAAAGCTTATTGTACCAGAAAGTGCTCCTACTCAAAAGTATAGTTCCCATTATATTTAGCTTATCAAAACAGTCTCTGCAGCATATCCACTTGGTCACTTTGTCTTAGGATACGGACAGTCCGTGGCTTACCGCATCCCCAGTCAGCTTTTCTGTGACGATGTACAAGTCGTTTCACATAAAAATGACTAATAACTAAGACAGGAGTTTCTGCACAACCTCCAAGGGCTTAGGGCTTGTTTTATGTTTGCAGATTCATGCAGTAAAGAACAACAACAAAAAGGAATAAACAAACAACTGCTGTCTTGTGCCCTATTTGGAACTGAGCTGCAAATACTTCCAGCGAGGACAAGCTGCCACAGCTCTGGAGAAACACACTTGGAAATCTGTGCCTTTTAGCCGCTGTGGCAACTGGAGAAACAAGACTTTTCTAAAACCACAAAGGAAGATTTAAATGTTTGGTTTTCTACTTTTCTAAGGGTGCAAAATCTTTTCTTGTAAAGGAATTCTTGAACTCTGAAAAGGGGCATTTATGGCTAATTTGATTTTTTTTTTTTTTACAACAATTCCAAAATAGACTCTAAATCATACCTCGTTGTATTTGCCAAGGGATTAAAAATGAAAGCAAACATCATAGCAAATAAATTTTATTACTATTGTTATTTAGGTAATAGAACCAGAGATATTATTTCCTGGTTTTTTTTTTTTAAACTAAAAGATTTTTTTTTTTTTACCGATTGAGGGAAAATGTTATTTCACAAATGATATATACGTATATGGTTTGAAGAATATCAATCACATACAGAATGGTTTTAAAGAAAACCACTACTGGTATTCATAGAGAGAACAGAGAAAGCATGAACATTGTTACCCTTCAGGGGAAAATAAGTTAAAGAATGGAAATGTTTTTCAACTTCATGATGGATTATGTTTTTAATAGTTTTGCCACAACAAAGCATTTTATTGAAATAGCTGTTCTGCGCCCGATCAGGGCACACACACCATTATTTTAATGAGCTTTAACAAGAGCCCGCATTCCCAGGGGAGAGAATCAGCTTCTTGGGGCTTTCTGGGGAGATGGTGGGGGCAGCTTACTTGCTTTTCAAAAGCCGTCGGCACCAGCCGTCTCAACTCAGATAAACTGTTATTTATCCGATCCCGACGCCTTTTCTCTATAATCTATCCCAAGGAAAGCAAAACAAGAAAAGTTTATGAATACAGAGATGATAATAAAATTACACACAATGGAAAACCACAACTGTTCCACATTAGGCTGGCTTACACGAAATAGAAAAAAAAAATCACATACCCCTCTTCTTTTTTTTCTTGCCATAATTTGAGATGTTGTTGTTGGAGAATTCGGTCTTGTCACAGAGCTAGCACTTTGCCTGTGAAAGAAGCAGAGTGTGTCAGGTGTTCCATCAACACAGCAGTTGCTTCTTCCTTCGGGGTGCTCAGGCATTGGGGGATCTCAGGGTTCACGTCTGTACTATTTCATTCTTCAGTAGTTCTTCAATCTCAGCACTTTGTCCTCAGTCTTTCTGCTTTTTCTCAGGAATTATGCCTTTAATTTTTTTTAAATAGGTAATTCGGATGCAAAATGTATTGGCAAAAGTGTCCTTAAACGTTTTTGAGTCTCTCAATAAAATAATTGGGGACTGCTCCAGAGCGAAGTCAGACACATACTTAGCTTTCCTGGTTCTGCTCACATATATTTCCTAAGAGTCAACTAATATCTTTTTCAGAGCATCCTCCTCCTCCCATTACACACAGAATAGAGTAATATTTTTCAAAATAAGCGTCCTGGGAAGCATCACTATCAATCTGTCACCATATGTCAGTGTTATCCCCAGAAGCAACCTGCAAAATCAGTCATCCTCCTGTTTCAGAACTTCAATCAGTCATGTTTTACAACAGGCAAATCCGACAAATACGATGTGTTGGATAGTAACGCTTTAAAAGAACACCCTGAATGATATAGGCCGTAGACAGCGGAATTAAAATCATGTTTAGGGTTAGGTAAATGCTTTACTTTGAAAATGAAACCCTTCACTTTCAAACTAAGCTTAAATTTCTAGGAGCTGTAATTCACCTTTGACAACTTTTTATATTGAAGGCCCCATAAGATTTATTGGATCACATACCTGGTACACTTTTTCTGGTTTGGGACTTTTTCCTCTTCATAGTTTAGGATACGAGCCTCTGGATGGGCTCATACATTCCGGGTCCGACTATTTGGCCTCTTTCATGTTAGAAATGCTGCAGACGCCAGGTTTCTATTACCTCACATTCTCACTTCTGGATCTTATTTCCGAATTATCTACCCACTTCACCCTCACCCCTCTTCTGGTTTCAACTTTCACCGGACACCAGACATCTTCCCTTTCTCAAAGATGACACATTTTAACAAATAGTTCATAAACAATCTTTCGCATATCTTTGCTCTTGCTGTTTTCAGGCTTGGGTTTGCACGTATCAGGATAAGGATAGGAAAGAAAAACAGTTTTTCAAAAACAGAGTGCATTTCACTCTTTGAGTTACAGCTGTAGATAAATAATTAAGGTGCTTCTGGGGATGCCAATTAGAAGCAATTATTGTACGACCCGCCTGGGCTCCAAAAGGCCTCGGTCACCTCCCTCTGTCACGGGACAGCAGAGGCCTCTGTCGCGGGACAGCGGAGGCTTCGCGTCTGTGGTCCCAGGCCAATGATCCTTTTTGAGGCTGGCAACCAAGCGGTCAAAGAAAGGGCGCGCGATCGGATCCTACATCTGCCATGAACTCGCGGGGCAGCCTGCCCCAGCTCAGCCTCTAGGCCCCAAACCCCCAGGCTGCTTGCTTTTCTCCCAAACACACGTCCCGCTTTAGCTTCCCTAAAAATACAAAACCAAATTTCTTTTCTTCCTAGTTCCCCTATTTTGGAAGCGTCCCATAAATCACAGATCCGGCGGCGGGGCGTCACGCGTGACTGCGGGAACTCGTGCACTGCCTCTTCCTGTCGCCTTCCCGTGCTCCACGCATCAGCCCGGTGAACACCATGCCGCCCGCTCCACCCTGCCCAGGTCCCGAGCTCCCACGGCCCCACGCTTCCCTAAAGCCTTCCTCCCGCAGACGGATCGCCGCAGGTCGGCGGCCGCTGGGTCCCACGAAAGGAGCCCATCGCTCACCCCGAGTAGTTGTTCTCGCTTCCCACGTCGATCGTCTCATCCATGTCGCTTTCGGAGGTCGTCTCCTCGCACGGGCGCTTCATCGCGCCGCCCCTCGCCTCCTCCTCCGCCCGGATCCGCGCGGGGCAGCGCGGCGCAGTCGCCCTCTCGCCGCTCTTTCCCACGCCGCAGCCTCGCTGGGCAGCCAGAGCCGGCGCCGGCCACGCCCCCGCCGCTCAGGGCCCCGCCTCCTCGGGTGCCGGCGTGGATCATTATTGGCTGAGACGAAGGGGCGGGACCGCTCTGGCCAATCCCCACCGCCCTGCTCGGCCCGAGGCGTGGGAACACGTCTGCGCACCTGGGCCGCAGCGGCGGTGCGGGTTGGGCTAGGAGGCGGCGAGCGGGCGCCGGGATTCCAGCTGCAGCGGAGGATCTGGGGCTGGCGGGGTGGAGAGCCCGGTGCGGGCTCCGGATCTCCGTCCGCGGCCGTCCGCCGCTCCCCGCTGGCTCTCCCGGGAGCCACAGGGCCGGTCCCGACCACAGGCGGAGCCGCCACTTCCGTCCCTTCGGCCCTGTGCCGCGGTGCTGCGAACTGGGACGCCCCACGACTGACGTTGTCCTCGCCGGTGGTGGGCAGGACTAGAGCAGGCAAGAGCAGGAGCCAGGACACAGTGACGCTTGGTCTTGGCGCATCAAAACGAGTACCTCAGTTCTCCTCCTGCCCCGCTCCGTCCCTGAGTGGGCAATCGCGGCGGCACAGTTTTTAGGATACAGGGCGAGAAGATGCGCGCTTGGACCACGAGAGTGTTTTCTGAAGCACCACTCGTGTCCAGTCACCCTTAGTGCCGTGGACGGGAGTTGTGTAGACTCCCCGTGCGCTCAGTCCTCGACCGCGTTTCCGAGCTGCTCTGTCTTCGTCCTGGGGATTTTCCAGCCCACTCCACCAATTTGGCTTTTCAGAGAGTAGCAGCGAGAGAGACTGAGGGAGAAGCGGGGACCGCGGGCCAGACTGGTTGGGGTCCATCTGGAGACCCACTTGTGGCGCCCGGGCAGCTTCGGGCTGTGGGTATAAACCTCTTCTCCTCACGTTCTCCCACCGTGCAAGCACCGGGTCATCCCAGGGACCTGCCGCGAGTATCCTCGGATCACTCCATTCTTTCCTCTCGCGGAACCGGTGGGGCGGTAAAGAGACGGGAGAAGATTAGACCCGGGCGTGGGTTCGGGCCAGAGCCAAGGACCTGCAGCCGGTGTGTTAGACCCTCACGAAAGAAAGCCCAAGGCCGGGTCCCCACCAGCCATAGGTTACTTTGGTGCCTTCGGTGACCCTGAGGACAGAAACCCGAAATGCTCCAATCCGACTTCTGAATGCTGCCGGGGCCGGGCGCCCGGGGCCAGAGGGGGTCTAGGCCACAGGCTGCAGGCACCCCCAGCTCCGCTGTAGCTCTGGGTGCTGCCTGGCAAGGCGGTGTGTGTGTGGGAGGGGGGTATATCCAGGCTTCCTGCGTGCCCCAGGGCCGTGCAGCGGGGGCGTAGGTACCGGTGCGCCCGGCCTTGGGGCACGCGCGGCGAAGCAGGCGTGAGATCGCTTCGGCCCCTCCTGCAGGGGGCTGCACGTTTCTCTGAAAGCCAAAGCCTGCATGTGCAATTAACATTTGCCACGCGAGCAAATTAGCGGGGCGCTTCCAAATGCCGGAGGCAAAACCTGAAATCCTCGTTCTCACTCTACTAGTGTATTTAATTATAATGATTGCGAAAAATTGCAGAGGGAAATGGTTAGCTTGCAATAAAGTAGCAACTGGTTAAAGTTTTCCCATATTTGTCTTTGAAGACTTAACCGCGGTCCCGAGCATAAAGAAAGATACAGCAGCGGCGATTGAAAGCACACACGGATTTGATGCCGCTTAAGTTTTTTTAAATAAAGAGGGCCATGTTTTCCCAGCATTCAGAACAATGTCTGGCGCATAGTAAGCGTTTCATGTCTCATAAAGAAGGAATAAGGGCCAAAAGACAGCATTTTGAACATTAGCATGCAATATGCTAATTTATCTTTAAGACAGCTCCAACTCGCTGAGTTTTTCCTCATTAGGTCTTATATTCCTTTCAAGATCGTGTGCTCCCGCTCACTGGCTGGGCGTCTAGTCTGTCTCGCGTCCTTTTGACTTGGGTCAGAGGAAGAAACGGAGGGCGGAAAGGGTTTTCAAGCACCAGGTCTGTTTAAAACGGTCAAGGCACGGTGGGGGTGTGGAGTTGGGGGTTGAAGAAGTGGCAGACGGAGAGAGAGAGAGAGAAAGAGAGAGAGAAAGAGAGAGAGTTAGTTTAAGCCTCACAGCTCCCCTGCGACATTCTTTTCAGGAAAAGTTGGTTGAAGTTTTACTGACAACCGGGAAAGAAGAAAAGAGGTCCTCACAGAGCAAACTGCAATTGTTTCTTTTGAAAGATTTGAACAAAGAGCTTAATGATGAGGGTTGGGTGTCTTAAGATTCTTTACCAAAGTGCAGATCTAATGGGAATGGAGGAGGGGAGACCCCAGTCGCCATCCTGAGACAGATCCTCTTGCCTGAGTTTGATTTTTAACCCACAGTGTGAAAATGAGGGGCGCGTGCAGAGATCTGGAAACCAGATTCAGGGCGCTCTTGCTAGTCCCGCCATAGGTCTCCATCCCTACCTGTTTATTACAAAGTTAGTTTCACACAAGTGTGAGCAAGTTGGGTGATCTTGGTCACATCTCGTCTCACAAATTTTGTGCTAATGAGACATCTGCTGCCATTCTAAAATTTCCCTTGTGGAATTTTGGGAACGAATCCGGGATCTTTTCAAACTCTTATTGGTCTACTTCTTTCTTCGTTAGAACCCTCTAATTTTTCAAAGATCAGTCGCCATGCTATTTATTGCTTCTCTGAATCCATCCTGATGCTGCTTACAATTAATCAAAAATCAGTCAGCCACTGGTTGGTAGTTCTGTGGGCTGAGGTCATTAAGACTTGTGATCACTTTAACAAAACCTTTAGACCTAGTTTCTTGGTGAAAGAAGGGCAATTTTCTTATTTAGTCACTTTCACAGTAACCTGTGATACTCATAATTCAAGTTGAGAAGTGCATTATTTTGCCCCCTCTTAAAGGTTGTCATTGTTTACATGGCTTTGGCTCGCAAAGCAGTGCCCAGCAGGTTGCCTGGTGGAGTGCTGGTTTCTCTGGGGCAGGGGTCATGCAGCCCAGGCAGGCTGTCTCTGTGGACTTCTGCGCCCCGGCCTTGCCTCAGAGCTGTGGCCACACTGGGCCAGGGGTGAGGCCAGCCTCACCCATCTCAATACCTCTCCCACCCTCAGCCTGCAGCGGGTGGCCACTCTAGGGTCATGGTGTGACACATGTTTGCAAGCCAGGATGCAAACCAGAGCTGAAGGCAGAGTAAATTTAGGCCCAAAATTGAGGCCGCTCATTCAGAGAGGGCGCTGCTCTCCCTTTTCAGGGCTTTCTGCCAGCCCAGCCACTCAGCCTGCATCGAATTTCTTGGCCTGCTCTAGTGTGTCCTGCTCGCCCTCACATCAGAGGCTGCAAGGGAGGAAACCTAAGAGTCGCAGGGATTTAAGTTGATCTCTATTGTTAGGGGACACTTACTTAAAAGCTTTTATTTCATGGTGCTTTTAGTGTTTGGGACACCCCCAAGCTAAGGACCCTTGAGAAGAAGGGTGCGCAGCAAGTCGCCAGCTCCCCTGTGTCCCAGGAAGCCAGCAGTCCAAATATGTCAGTACTCACTACATGCTCTCTGCGCAGGGTTAAATTGGGATTGGCAGCTTTTCTTTCTAGGAAAGGCTTTAGCTGCCTGTGTTCTTGAAATCGGCTTTATTGGCAGGTGTTTCACCCTTCTCTTAAGGGGCCAAAGGGAAACCCTCTCTGTGATGACACTGTGGTGGGGGCCCAAGAAATGGCTTGGCATGAAGGTCTTGTTCAAATTCATGAATGGTGCCTTTGCTTTTTTCTGGAAGTATTTAGAGTTTAAATATATTGGAATAATAAAATAGAAATCAACAAACATTAATTATGAGCTGTGGAAACAAGGTGAACAGTCTCGTTAGATATGAGCAGGGCAGCAGTTACTAAGGGCCCATGGTTTGGCCCTCAGCTTTCTGGAAGAAATTTTTAAATTTTTATAGTCAGAAACATGGAAGCATATAGCTTTTCAGAAAAAGGAAAACTTCACCCTGTCACCAGCTTCTAAAAGGACTGTGCCTTTGCCTTGATTGCAGACTTTGACTTTACTTTGATTATTTAAAACATATCTATTTAAAATTATTTTTTTTGTCAAAAAATTCTCCCCACTCTACTAATTATAACATGAAAAATAACATTGACACATAACATTGATTTATAAATGGGGACAATAGTTTATCTCCTATTAGTTGAATAAGCCAGGTACTAAGCTGTGAAGATTAATTAGCTGACTTTAATAGGTCCAGGGTCTATATTGTTGCAAAAGCTATGAATTCTGTACAGGAAAGTTTCAGTTTGAGGAAAAAAAATTAAAAGATTCCTAAATGTGCTTGGTTGATATTACTTGATGAAAATAAAAGACCAGGTACTTGATACTTGCAAGTGGCAATGGGAAAATTTAAGACTGAGAGTATTTACCTGCAGGATGCAAATGAACATCCATATTTGCTGGGCATTTTTATTAGAATGTTTTTACTAAATATGCCTTTGTGTCCTCATCTTAAATTTTAAACTGGTGGGTAATTTCTTAAATGAAAAAAAACCCATAAAGCCTCCTAGATTAGAAATAAGAAATTGCTGATTTTACAGTTACGATGGAAAAAAGGGCTATTTTAAATCTTCATGTTTTTATAAACTAATCAAAATATATACTGTATTCTGTAGGGACTTAAAGTTTAACATATCAATACTTGATGAAAAATACCTGTTCCATGTTAGGCCTAAGATGTTCGATATTCAGATAGATAGTGAGGTTAAGCTTAACGGCCTCGGTTGTATGGTAATAACAATAAGCTTCTCTTCTGGAGGGTTAACAACCTAAGTTTGCAGACCAAAAATTAGAGGAAGAAGAGGGCTGCAAGGAAAGCCAACATTTTGGCCCTAGCCTTTCAAGGTCAATTAAGACTCAGGACATATGAGAACTTGTACTGTAGCATCATGTAACTCAGTAGTGTCCCAAATTTTCTGATCAAAGAGATTAATGGGGCCAAAGAGGAAAGTGA